CGGGGCCATCGAGCACTGAAACAAGCTGAGAATCTCTAGGGTGAGACAAGGCCAGTTGTCAACATCTTGGCCCTTTCTAAAAAGGTGCTGTAGGCCCTGTTTCTTCTTTACACTGGTGAGAGGGGCCTTCCATGTCGACAACCCACCAGAAAGTGTAGACTTGAGAGCTGGCCGTCAATTAAGCTCCAACTATGCCACCACAACCTCATGATATCAGCCCTCTCCCTTGGAATCGCCCCGAAAAGGCATTATATATGGGTAATATAGGGCAGTACAAAAGAAAATGGCAACAATTATTATATCTAGGACAGTCATCATGAGCACGTGTATGGCCGGCTTAGATCTTCCGTCTGATCACCCGCGTAACTGCTCCCATCTACATGGCATGGCCAACATGACATCCTTCTCGTCTCAACATTGTCATCGTCATGCTGGTAGTCCTATCAAATTCCCCCTGCAGAATCAGGAACACGTATCCGGATCAGCCCTTTGTAGCCCCCATTTCCCCAGGGTCCCTAAAGTCCCCGACAGAAACACGCAAAGTCTGTGAACCTGTTGAAACTTTGGGCAGTTACAAGGTGTTTGCTAGCGAGCACGAGGCTGGGAGAGAAGGTTGCCAGATCTGGCTCAACATGACGGCCCCTACTGGAGCTGATGCGGAGGGTTCTCCTTGTTTCTGGGATCCAAATGCACACATCTGGAAGTCTTCTTCAAGGATTCGTGTGGTCTTTGCCAGTACAGGTGGGTGTCAGATGGCGATCATTTCAGCACATGCTCCCACCTCAACATCCGGAAAAATGGCGCTTGATCACTGGTGGAGTGAGTTAGCCTCAACGCTTCGCCAGATTCCCCGTAGACTCAGGATAATTCTGCTGGTTGACGCCAATGCCAGATTTTCAGCCGCAGATGAGTATGGCGACATTAGTGTGGCATATCCCAACAACACTGCTGCGGAGATGTTCCAGGGATTTTTACATGAGCGTGAGCTAGGTGCGAGCACTCTGTATGATTACCTGGGCTATCAGGTGGTTACATGGATCAGCCCCAATGGCAAGCCAGCATGTCTGGATTACGTTGCCGTCTCGTTGGACATTGCTCATGGGTTGAGTACCGTTGGACGATTCATTGGGTTTCAGGACTGCTTTGATTTTGACCATCAGCCACTCCTTGTTCAGCTTACATGGTCCTCAGCTGTCACCACGAGTACCAAACAGCCAAAGTTGGACAGGGCGGCGATGACAACGGAGCAAGGCAAGTCCAAGCTTGCTGAGATCTTTGCCACGGCCCCTCTAGCTCCTTGGTCGGCAACAGCTGATGAGTACCTGGATGCTCTGAATGGTCACATTTATCGTGAGGTCCATTTGTGGTTTTCAACCCACAAGGCATTGCCTCGCTCGCCACATGTATCGGAATGCACTTGGGATATTGTTATGGCCCGCAGAACTGCGAGAAGAGTTTTGCATAGATGCTGCAAATTGCAGAACAAGATTATCCTGCAATGGTTCATTCATGCCTGGAAAGGACGAAATGAACATCTTGACAGCACCAGTGCAAGGTGTGGTCGACTTGACATTTGCATTGCGCGGCAATTGACAACGATCGCTCGGTTGAACTCTTCCTTCAGGCTGTCAGCGCAAAAGGATTCTGCGGCTGGGGTCAGAAGAATCTTCCAGGAGTCTCGCGAGCAAGGCCAGTCTACCTTCTGCAGCATGATGAGGTCTATGCTCAAGATAGGCCGCAGGTATAAACCTGCAAAGCAGTCTCCAGTTATCATCGACAATGACGGCATTCATGTTGGATCACAGGAGGCCATGCCTATACTTGCACGAGGCTTTGCTAAAGCAGAGAGGGCAATCTTGACACCAGCCGAGGGTTTGTGCCGCCATGCACAACAGCATGATCCAAGGGATATTGACAATGGTCAAATACCTGATATTATGGCCTTGGCCTTCAGTTTCTCGCGCCTCAAGAAAGGTAAAGCTGCTGGTATTACAACGTTGCCGGCTGAAGTTTACTCTGGCGCACCCCTACAGGCGGCCATGACACGTTTCCCTATCATGCTGCGACAAATGCTCAGAGCAGATGCGCCCCTGGAATGGACTGGTGGACAAGTTGCAATAGTGCCCAAACCGGGCAAGCCGGCCACATCGGTGGAAGGTTGGCGAAGCATTCTTCTCCTTGACCCTGCTCACAAAGCAGTCGCAAGAGCTGTTCGCCCTACGCTACTCACTCCGCTGGATAAGGTTGCGTACGGTTCTCAGTGCGGCGGCAGGTTTGGCATGCCTTTGGAGCTCCCAAAAACTTATGTCCGCGTGCATTTGGAAAGGTTGCGTGCCAACAGGATCTCTGGCTCAGTTCTCTTCTTGGGCGGAAGAAACGCGTACTACGCTGCTGTCAGGAATCTCCTACACGCCCAAGGAGGTTTTGAAGACTGTGACAGCCTGTGGCGTTTTGTCCAGGAGCTACATTCCGAGGACGATGTGAGACAGCATCTCTATCAGGACTTGACAAAGCCGGGGTTTCTGGACCAGGTTGAAGCTTCAGCTGCGCTTCGCAACTATGTGAAAGCGACCATCGACAGAACGTGGTTCACGTTGAACGTCAAGGCTGGACAGTTCTATGCTACTACTACTGGTACTTCTCCAGGAGCACCGCTTGCAGACTTACTGTATCAGTTGATCAGCACGCGGTTTTTGGCTCATGTTCAGTCTGCATTGGAGAGAATTGGACATGCCACAAAGACTTGTTCAGGCTTTGCTGCTCCCATTCCGGGCTGGGCAGATGATTACGCTGTACTTCTGGAAGCGCAAACAGCGGAGCTTGCTGTGCAACAATTGCAGGAAGTGGTGCCGCAGGTTTACATCGGGTTGGGCTCGATTGGGATAGAGTTAAACCTGGCCAGGGGGAAAACGGAGGCCCTTCTGGCGCTCAACGGTGCAAATAGTAGGAGGTTACGAAAGGAACTTCTCAGCGGCTGTGACCCAAGGCTTTCTTTGCAGTTGCCATCTGGTATTAGGAAGACGCTTTGTTTGTCACATTCCTATAAACATCTTGGTGGTCTCGTTTCAGTCAATGGTGGATACAAGGCTGATGTTCTGGCGGTATCCAGAGAGGCCAACCGTATCTTCTTGGGACTTCACAAAGTCTTGATTCGAAATGCCAACCTGAGTACCATGGAAAGGGTGCAACTTTTTCAGACGCTGGTTTTGTCAAAGATGCAGCAAGGAGCCATGTCATGGTTTTTCACAACAAATGGCGAGGCTAAGTCTTTTCAGAAAGCCATAGACAAGTGGCAGCGCAAACTGGTCGCCCTGCTTTTTGGCTGTACCACAAGAGGTTCAACATCTGCAGAAGTTCAAACGGTGTTGGGGGTTCTTTCGCCACAGCAGACCCTGGACGTTGCTCATGTTCGGTGGTTGTCTGGCATTGCTCAGCACTGTTGCGATTTCTTCTTGACGAGATTTTCTGAACGTCCATCCTGGATTTTGCAAGTGAAGGAATCGTTAGGACGCATGCTTCAACTCTGCCGGCGTGATGAATGGTTGGAAATGCTTCAGCTTGAAACTGTGGATTTCATCAAATGGGCTGGTCAGCACAAGGCACTGCTTAGCAATCTGGCTACAAGCTTCTGTAGGGCAGTACGCAAGCGCGGGCTCCGACAACGGGATGAGGTCCTTCAGAACTTCCAGGCTAGGACCAAGCTTTTCACTGTAGATGGAGGCTTTGGTAGAATCCCGGAGTTGCGATCCAATCTCAACGTTGTCTGTAATGTCTGTGGTGCTGCCTTTGTCAGCAAGGCGGCTTTGCGCTTCACACAAAAGCAGGCGGCATAATATTGCTGGTGTCTTCTCAGGCTGCTTTGGGTCTCTCTGCATGGTTTGCTGCACTGAAGTCCACACAACCAAACGTCTTCGCTTACACCTTCGCAAAAGCGGGATATGCGGAGCTGTTTTTCTGGGTTCAGATATCTGTCATTCCAGGTGTGAAGTGATCGATTCAGACCACCTTGCTGAGAAACCTGCAATTCGAGTGCCGTTTGCTCAACCCTTCTGGGCTACTCTGAGACCGTCTCTGAATGCCGAAGGGGATCACCACGTAGTTGAGGCTTGCTGTGAAGTTCGCTGTCACAGATTCTTTGATAGATGCCAGTCCTTTTGTGAACTTGTAGGCATGCTCATTGCCATTGCAAAAGCAAAGCCGGTTGTCTTAAAGGGGGCACGACTCGCTCTCTGCGCTTTGCGTTTTCATGTTCACGATGTGCAGACTGCTTTAGTTGAAGCCATGCTCAGTGAAGCTGACCTTGGATGTGCTTCAACTATCACTGCCGGAGCACTTCAGCTGGGGATAGGATCACAATGCTTTCATTACGGGCCCAGGGACTTTCCTTTCCATCAGCTGGGAGTTGCTCTGACTCATACCACAATGGAAGAAGAAATCATAAACCCTTTTGCCTTCGGCCTCGGTTTTGGATGGGGCTTTAGGGTACTGGGTCCCTACGGTACAGAGATTTGCTTACTCTGGCTCGCTTGAATCTTTGCATGAAGGCTCACAAGTGTGAAGACGGAAAGGCCTTTGGTAGGTGCATCGCGAAACAATGGTAGAGCCTGCTTCCTTTCGCCTGTGCTGCTGGCGGCGTTGCTGATGGCTTGCAATGCTGATCCACCGGCTGACTGCTTGTTCCCCATAAAGGTTTAGGATCAAGAGCTAATCCCTATCCTTATAGTCACTTTCAACACACCTCTGAGGGAAATGAGCAGTTCAGAAGAGGCTCACTTCGTCAGGTCTACACTTCAGCATTGGTAGTTCTCAACTCCCAGCCCAAAGGAAACACAAATGGAATTCGACACTTCAAGTCAAAAAGAGTGCAAGGTAGGCTGAAAGTATACTTGAGAACCACCCCAAAGGATGTGACGCACAGACACAATGGAAGATGATGGCTGCATCACATGTGATCTATGTACGCTCTGGCTAGCTTCCAGAAAGGGTTCGTAGCTGGCTCCCTACCTTTCTTCTGAAGGTATCTCCACAGCTGGCGCTTGGTCACCTGTTGGGGGGGACTCCGGCTCCAATCGGCTTTCAAATTTGTACTGTACAGCCAGGTCTATCATGGTAGACCTCTGGTGTAGCAGCCGATCCTGCACATAGCTCCGTGAGACCCTCCAAACTACACCTCCTACACCCACGGCTGTGAGCGTGGCAACGCCTCCAACCACTGCAAGGCTGGTCATCACGCTGCCTCCTCCCAAGGTGGCGAGGCCACTGAGGAGCCCAGAGGCAGAGAGCCCTGCAATGGTCCCAGACTCCGATACCATAAGCAGCCCGGCTGTGGAGCCGGCCAGGACACCCCCGGCCCCCCCAAGCGCCACCACCTGTGGGGTCAGGGAGTCGTTCTCCATAGCGCTGCTCAGCTTATAGAGGCTGGTTGCAGCCAGCATGGACGGGGCGGACGCGATGACCACCACCAAACCTGCACCCATGCCAAGGCCTCCAGCCCATGTTAGACCTCCAGCTGCCAGTGATGATGCGCCGAAGAGGCCATCTGCTGTAGTCGCAGTAAGGGCCACCTTCACCCCCTCAGTTGACAGCAGCATAGCTATCCTCCACATGTCAATGGAGGCATCGATGATGGCCCTGGCCTTCTCCTTAGTGCTGCTCAGGGATTCAAAAACATTTGCCTGCCACCAAGAAATTCAGCTTGCAGGCAGTCCTTGCACATTTCCCAAATAAATGGGGGATCCTGCTTAACATACCCCCCAGAACACTCTCTAATCTTGGTCTTCACAACTCGCGAAAACCACACACACACCCAAATCGTGGCCAGCGGCAAGGTACTCATCCGCCACGAAGGCCCAGATGGAATTGGCCTCCGTCAGCCAGATATACCTGAGTTGTGGCACCGGCAGAAGAGCTCATTTACCAAGGGCGGTTGAGGGTGTAGGATTAAGGTTGGGATACTGCCCTGCCTCACGTATGCCCAAATGAGGACATCCCCTGTTTAAAACATCCCAGGTCAGTACGGAGGATTGCTGCTTGCCACTGGGTTCGTTGCGGGGCCTGTGGCCTCGTGAATCCTTTTGATTCTTTGGAACCTATCAAGGCCCGAATCATGGCCCCTCAAACAAACAGCCTGAGACCTCTGCACAGCCAGCCGGGACTCTAGGACTCCAGGATGTGCTCTCCGAATATCATGTACCTTCCTACTCTTACCGTGACCACTACTAGTGTCCGGCATTCCCTCACCATTCTTGCTCCCTCATTGCTGCCATTATCCCTGCCTTTTGAAGTATGGCATGCGCATTTCCCAAACAAGTTGTCAGGGACAGTTGGGGCATGTATGCCACATTCCGGCTTGCGAATTGCCAGTGAACTCTAAAACTTTTAAAGCCCTTTGACAACAAAGGTCCCGGACCTCCAACTGTGGAACCCTCATAGAAGCCAGCCGTGCGACGCGCCCTCGGCGATCTTCACGAAGCCCTCAAAGTCACTGACGGCCTGCACTTTGAACGGCTGTTCAGGGGTTTCTCAAACGGCTTAGAGTGTAGGGTTGGGGGCGTACCACAGGGGTTTTGGGCAAGACAGGAATTGGAAGAGAGGCCCCAAAGAAGAAGAACGCCATGATACCGCTGTAACGGCTGCTACCATTCATAGGTGTCATTTCTTAAGCATCTACCGTCATAATCATTACTGCGACTGCTTTCTGCTGGAAAACAGGCAACTGAAAGGCTCAAGTGTAGGGTTTAGGGTGTAGGGTTTACGTAGGGCTCCCTAACCCAAACCTCAACACCTGAACCACCTCTGGTATCGTGCGGGCTCCGCCTTATCCACCATCCCGTAGCGCAGCTCTTTTGAGTCCTGCAAAAGTTGCAGCGCAAAGGGCCAAGATTCCAATGATCGTGTGTGGGATTTCTGTGAGTATTAGCAGTTTTGGTATAGGCGTCTAGGCTTTGCTAAACAAAAATGCCTAGCGGTACTAACCATCTTGTATGAAAGCAAGTTTAGGCCAGAAGACGCTGATGGTCTTGCAAACTACAGCTGAAACTCCTTGCATGGGCCCTACTAGACCCCAGAGTCCAAGTCTCAAGCAATACAGAAATGCGTACGTCTCAGGTTCCACCTGTTGATCTAAAAGCAGAGTGTCAAAGAAAAGGAACTACCACTGTGAGCAGCCACATGGCATCCTTGCGCTGACATTTGCACATGCAGATGGGCGTCAGGCAACAGTGTTGCATGAGACAGCGACTAACCACATTAACATTGGCTGTAAAGTCAAACATTGCTAGCTGCAACTGAAAGAGGGTCAACGTACTCGCTTTCTTGCTAGCACCACGAAGACGTTCGGAGCCTTCTGGACAAAAGGACTGAAGCCCTAGAAGCCTGTGACTTTCAACCCTGATCATTGGGGTCCTTGTGGAGGAATTGGATGACGGAGCCTTCCTGGCAGGAGGCTTTGAAGAGTGGCAAATTTGAGCACACCTCGGAGGTATATCCCGAAGCCACATTGAAAATTTTGCCCGATCTTCTGCGTCCTATACTGCAGACCCCCAGACTCAGCCGCTGGATACTCCAAAGGCTCGTAGGTCTTACACTCGACTTTCCTTGTAGGTGCTCTGAGGTTTCTTCACTCTCAGAAGAATCCTAAGCCCTGCGCCCCAGACCCGAAGTCCGTGTTCTTTGTCAGTAAGCCGATGATCCCTTTACGGATCCTGTCACGCATGGATAGGAGCTCCGGAAATCTGCATCATCCCACAGAGACATGTAAAGAACCCCTCCGGAGTCCTCATCCAACCCCAAGACAAGGCTGCATACCCCAGGGTCATTTGCCACATCCCTTGAAATTGGGGGCTCAGTTCATGGACAGCGCACGCACCGTGCTGGCACACCTTGAAAGAATTCTTGGAGAAGGCATCGTACCAGGTCTTGCCTGCACACTATCCCTGGGACTGATGCCCTTGTTGCTGTTAATTAAAACTTGACTGTTTCACATAAAAACGATCAAGCTCATACTATCCCTGGCAGGGTAGGGGCCTATGAAGTCTGGCAGGAAACAAACTGAGACCCGATTGGAATTCCTCAAGGCAGGATTGGTCAACGAACCCATCTTTTTTTTGGTTTACGGACCTGGTAACGTTCAACATGTTAAGAAGAACAGTGGTGACCACAGGTAGGGAATAGCAGGGAATTTTCTGTGGATCCTTACCGGCTCCCCTTATACAAAGATTTCACTCCCATCGCTGTTGAGTCCTTGCATATACTGGAGCTTTCCATGTCAGGACGTGAGCAGCTGCTGATTGAAGCGGATGGGATGAAGCTATCCGGACCCTTGCATAGACCCCATTCTGCTGTGATCCCCAGAAAGCTGCCCCTTCCTGTGGAAACCACCTGAAATGGTTTCATCTCTTCTCTCAAGTTCCGGAGGCCTCAAATTGAATGTCGTTTCAAGAGCGATCCTGAGCCCTAACAAAGTTGACGAGAGGTATCCTAGAACGCACAACCGTAGGCCCAGCTTCTCAAAAGCCTGGTATTCGTGAGTTTTTGTAAAGGAGCTCCTTGGGAACCCTAGGGGTACATGTAACTATCGGGGAAGGGTCCCAACGAAAGGGATTCTGCAAGGATTATGTCGAATGGTAATTAGTCTGGATCTGGCAGCCATCTTGGCATTTGGGCCAATGTTTTGTTCGGTTAGAACATGTTGTAGGGCAAAACCGACATGCGGCTATTCGCAAACGCATATCTCGCACGCATCTATGCACGCAACGTTACTGTGCAGAAGAGATGCTGATTTCCTCCCACATGGCTCGACGGACAGAAGATCACAAATGGCGGTGCTGGAGAGAGCAATCAAACAAAAAGCTTGGGCTTACTAATCTTAAGCTTCGTTCAGGGTGATGATGCGCTAGAAGCCTGCACGTGGAGGCCTGTGATATATACGTACATATATATATATATGTATCAAGCTCCATACTGGAAAAATCACGATGCTAGTGGCAACCACGCGTAGTGTTCGATGTGAGCGTTTCCTAACACATGACGACTCACATCCCGGTCTCATCCCTTCGCTGGGAGCCAAACTACCAAGCCGACAGCAACAAATCCTTCTGGCTTGCAGACTTAATATAAGGCATACATATATATATATATGTAGGGATAACGGAAAACAAAACGGAAACTACTATTTAGGGTTTCGGGTTTAGGGTTGCTATTAAGGAATTTAAACGAAGTTACCATAATGGGTATATATACATAGAGTACCTAATATGGTTTACCGAAGAGAGTAACTTAAATCAAGTGTTCCTTAACCCTAAACCCTAAGCCTGATATATCCCTATATAATTACGCACGACATACCCTGATTATAGTAACTTAAATTAAGTTCCCAGTTTAACTGGTCCCCAAGGCTTGCAGATAGTAAGTAATGGGGCTTGCCAGGATTTCTTAGCCCCTACTTCTAGATTCCTGACAGACCTCACATAAACAGAGTACCCCTGGGCCCGCGGTACACCTTTTTGAGAAATACACATATCTCCAGTTGAGAACAATCTTGAGGAGATAAAGAGGGCATCATGCTCTAGAGGAGATACGCACTTAAGTTTTCAAGCCTGACCTGACTTCACCCTGCAGTGGCCCAAAAACGCTGCCACGGAGAATGAGCAGTTGCACTGCACATGGGCCATCAGGGGCCTGCGCTAGAAGCGCAATAAATATCCTTGACAGCCTAGCTTCAGACGCGTACTATCACGTTTTGCAAGTTGTTTTGGAAGGACATCTGGAAAACCATCCCCGAGCTGTCACGAGGACTGAGCGCTCACGTGGTTCTTTACTTGAAACTGTACCCTAGCGCTTTCTCAGACCCTTGAGGAGCCCCTGACTCAGCAGACCTCATGCTGCAAAATTCTCCCGCGCCTCCAGTATTGCCATCAATCAGGGACGCACAGACATGACCTTGAAATTGAGCACGCGGGATGCTGGAAGTAGGGATCCCAGTGCAAAGTACGAGATCCCTGCTTCGAGGCCTTTCATACCCTGCGCAAAGAGGATTTAGAGGATTTCAGGCTTATGGGATATGGGAGCATGGGGATGCGGAAAGTAGTGCTACTTTGGACGGAGGCAATCTTCCACCAGCCCCGATGCCTTGCACCTCAGGAAATAGATTATATTGAGGATCCAAAGTGGTGCATGATCTCTACTATTAACCGCGGTATCACTCTGTCCGATAAAACAGCACAAAATTCTGATCATCATTCCAAGACTACCAGGAACCCTAAATCAAAACCGAAAATCCTCTAACCCCATAAGCCTGACACCATGAAGCACCAAACGTCAAAACCAAAAACCCTCGGCGTTAAAAGCCCCTACATCCTTGACCCAAACCCGTAAACCAAATACCCTACACACAAAAAGTGGCTGCAGAGTGGCCACTATTCCCCGCTGCCACCAGCGTAACAACAACGGACGCAGGTCTCACACCTGCACCAAAACACCGTGCATAAGTCTGGTCCAATCCTGGTGGTTTACAAATTGCTTTTCTAGTTCAAGGGGTGTGCGGGGACTCTAACAGGGAAGGTGGCACTTTGAGGGAATGGCTGTAGGGCCCGGTTCACCCTGTTGGCCCATCTCAGTCGACTTGAAGAGTCTTGGAGACCAAGGGGCCTGAAACTCATGAATTAAGGAATATACCGATACTCAGATCAGAGATCCTCATATGATGTAGGGTATATACGGTATACTTCTTAATCTTGACGACGCTACTTGATACAAATCTGGCACTGGGAAGCCAACATTCTGGCAGCACCTTCTAGGAATGTGCAGAACCATGTAGGTGAAAATTGGTAGCATTTCCCAGCTTGCTTTTGCTGCGTAGTGCAAGAAGTTGGAGGCCATATGGGTGTGTCCGAGAGTATAGCAGTTTCCATATCATTTTCCATTCTTCCAATAAAACCCCTATATAACCCCAATATACTATAGTCCCATTGGATTGGGGGGTGTTGCCCTGGCTTTGCCAGGCCTGACGATTAAGCCGCGCCTCAAGTCATGGTTCGTCTGTTCCTCGTGGGGAAAAAATGGTTATATTGGATAATGGAAAATCAAATGGAAAACAAAATGGATAGCGAAATGGAAGCTGGGGGAATATACCTGGATTCTAATTGTCGGGAGGAAGCACGCACAGCGTACCCAGCACAATGTTAGTAGCCCTGCTAGGATTAATACTTTTGTCTCAAAGACGAATGATAGCATGACAACACTGCTCAATGCTGGCTTTTTGTCAATCGCACCAGACTTCTACTCCTCCTCTGCTTCGTCCTACTTCCACGCACAAGTTCTCCAAGCTAGACCCTAGAGCCTGAACCCTATCACCTCAAACCCCCAGCCCAAAAAACTTCCTCCTGGCTCGAACTGTTTTTCCTTGAACTTCACCCTAAGCATGCTTAGCTGGGAATGGGGAAATGAATCCTTCTCTAGCTTTCTCAGATTATCCCCCTTAAAATCCATTCCTGCACTCCCAAATGAGCCCCTAAATCCAAAACCCTCAGTCCTCCATATTTTTTCATATTCTTTTCCATTCCCTACTTCCCGACCAAGCATGAAGAAGTCATCTTCTGCACGCCTGCTTCCGCCTTCTGCACACCGCCACATGGAGCTGGAGCCACCTCCCAATAGCTGCGGCTCAGGGGTTCATGGCTGCAAGGCCTTAGGGTAATATAGGGGAATATAGGGTAATTAGGTAGTATAGGGTAATTCAGGGTAATATTGGGGATTATATAGGGATAATGGAAAATAAAATGGAAACTACTATTTAGGGTTTAGCGCTTGGGGTTTAAGAGCATGAGGGTGTACGACTTTTAGAGTCGCAGGATTAACCGGATTCTAGGCATCAGGGCTCAAGGGCTCAATAGTTTAGAGCTTAATTAAGGGTCATGTTGGGCAAGTTTGGAAATCTAGTGTTCACGGGGGCTTGGCTTTAGGGTCTAAGACGGGTCTACGAGTCGAGGGGTTAACCGGCTTGAGAACTTGAAGATTCAGGGTTTATAACTGGCCGAGTTTAAGGGCAAGGCCTCATGGCTCAAACAAAACTGCAGTTTCCTTTCATCAGGAAGTCAAGGTATTGTCCCTTGAGCAGAGGACGCGTGAAAAACACTCGGAATTACCCAGCCAGGCCTTCTTCTTGTTCGAACCG